GTTGTAATGTGACAAAATATGGAAAAGTTCAAGGGGTATGAATACTTTTGCAAACCACTGTATGTTAAAACTGTCTCACTGTCGTCTTTCTGAAACTTCTGATTTCAAAATAAAAGTATCATGTGTGTACACATGTGCTTCATGCTACATGTTTCCATCTGCTTCCCAAACAGAACCATACATTCTGACAGCCTTTGTGTAGAAATATATCCATATATTTATTAATTTAGCTGCAATTTCCACATTATTCCGACAAATAATCCAGCCTAAAAGTGTCTTATTTTGAAAATACGGATGTTGTGCTCGTGTCTTTTCCTGTTTGTAATCGTTAAAAATTGACTCCGGCAAAAATAGGATCTGTTTCTAATTTTGACGGATCGCCGTGCGCTCACCGCCGCCAGTGTAAACACTGTCACTGGTTATAATGGGTGTGTGTTTGCTGCGGAGGTCGGACCGGACCGGATCGGACTGGAGACAGAACACATGTAGTGTAAATGAAGAAGCCTCGTTTCATTAAAGAACCCGTCCAGTGGACCGGATTAGTTTTTTTTTATCTTTCAGAAAACCTTGGATAATCTCGGTTTAAATTACTAATCTGGCTGCTTAGAAGCAATAATTCTCCACATTTCTTCTATTTAGATTTGTCCAGATTCAAAGGTGCGTTTTCCCAAGCTGCCTGCTCCAGGCTCTGAGGCGAAGGTGAAACAGGAAGCTGTGGAGGAGCTGGTGCTGGAGAACTCCCAGCAGCTGTGTGCTTCCAGCCTGCGCCTGCCAGCCTGTCGGATCAGTGAGTGTGTGCAGCAGCTGATGGAGCTGGCACACAACACCCTGTGTGAAGCTGTCAGCAGCTCCCCACAGTGGTACGTCCTTCATCACTGACATCTGATGTCATGTAGAAACGTACAGATCAAACCTGACTGATGCTGTTTTTTTCAGTGCCTTACAGCTTTTCTTCACAGTCAGGAACATTTTCCAGCTGTTCTGTGACGTTGTGCCTACATACCACAAGTAAGACTGTCAACACACAACATTACAAATGTGCACAATGTGTGGATAAACTCTGTTTGTACTTTAATCAGGGAAAGTCTGAAGTTRCCTCAGTTAGCTGCCATCCAGCACAACAACTGCATGTATTTGGCACACCACCTGCTCACCTTGGGTCACCACGTCAGAGCCCACCTTCCACAGACCCTGGGAGAAGGTGTTGCAACGTTTGTCGACATGGTGCCTGGATTCAGGAAGCTAGGTTGGCTCACGTCATCGATTTGTTTAACTAACTGTCTGTAGCCCTGAGAAACAAGAAGCTGGTCTCCTGTCATCACGTGTAGGYGCTCAGTGCTTCTTAGCACAGCTCAACATCCAGAGAGCTGATCTGCTGGAGAGGCTGTCCACTGCTCACAACTTCTGCAACCTGGATGATGAACACAACTACACTGCAGCCAGCAAGGCAGTGAGACAGGTGAGAAAACACGCTTCACTTTAACACATAAATATTTATGATGTGCTTCTTTTTTTATTTAGCATATTATTTAAAAACTCCTTCATTTTATGAAAAGACCCTGTTGATTCAATAGAACACTCTGCAGCTCTAATTGTCACTCAGTGATGTTTGTCTGACCACAGGTCAACCACCAGCTGAGACAGCTGGGGACAGTGTGGCAGGATGTCCTGCCTGTCAGCATCTACTGTAAAGCCATGGGCAATCTCCTGAACACTGCCGTTTCAGAAATTATCAACAAAATCATGATGCTTGAGGTTTGTCTTCAAACTTTTGTTTTATTTTTTTAAGTCTACATTAATGTAGGCCCCATTTTAGACAGAAATAAAAGGGACTGTGGTAATCCAGGGTTCCTGCAGGTMCTTAACTCTTAAATAAGGCCTTAATTAGCCTTAAAATGTCTTAAATCAATCTGTCAGAAATCTTAAAAATGATAACATAAATAGGATGACTGTAATTCATCTCAAATATTCAAATAACTGGTAACATTATTTTTTTAATATTTACATGCAGACATTCCCCTTTGACATCACTTCCTGTTAATAAACAATGTTTTTAGATGTGAAAGTTTGTCCTGATTTAAATTTTTTTAAGTTATTCATAAAAAGCTGGTGTTGTTAGATGAAATCAAAGCTTGTGTGCTGCCTCCAGGATATCTCCTCTGAGGAYGGGGAGCACCTCCACACTCTGTGCCAAAGCATCATCGAAGAGGGTCCGCTGGTCTTCATCCCTCTGGCTGAAGACAGCAAGAATAAGAAGTATCAGGAGGAAGTGCCGCTGCACGTGAAGAAGTGGAGCACTTTCAAGGAGCTCGTCATCGTGCTGCGAGCAAACCTGCAAGAGATCGTTGATCGGTAGGAAACCTTTCATGACTAAAAACTGGTGACGCATTAAAACACGACTTCATTGATTTGTTTTAAAATAACTTAATCAAGAATAAAGTGAAACAGAACAAAAGATGAATATTTACAGTGTGTTTGTGTGATTGGTTGATTCTTGTCTGCAGGTGGGCTGATGGGAAGGGTCCACTGGCGTTGGAGTTCTCCAGTTTGGAGGTGAAAAGTCTCATCCGAGCCTTGTTTCAGAACACGGAGCGGAGAGCTGCTGCTTTGACCAGAATCAAATAATTCTCCAACAAAAAGGGCGATGGAGTTTAATCCAACCTAAACTTYATTTACTTCCAAAGGTTCCAGTTCTGATGTTGTTTCACAGAATTCATGTCTAAAAAACTGGTGATAAGATCTGTAATTACTAACAAGTTTTTATCTAAAATACMTTAGGCTGAACACTTCCACTATGTATTATGTATTTATTTTTGTTCCAATAAACTTTTCTCCTTTTAAACTCGTAATGAAATCACTTCTGAGCATGAGGGTAAATTTATAACCTGTCGACTGCA